AGTGGTTTATTGTATTTTAGGTACAACTTGACGATTTGGGAGTTCCAAGGTTGAAACGAGCCAAAAAAGGTCAAAAATGGGCAAAAACGGAAGAAAACGGAAATATGCTGAAAATTGGCCCGGCGCGGCCTTGCCAAATTTAGCCTATTTTTGGCGCGGCCGTGTGAGAATTCCACTGATTCTCGCCCGGCCGTGTAAAAACACGCTCGAGACAATTTTGGACTTTTAATCACACAAGAAAACCTAAAATCTTCTACCTAGTTGGGGCATCTATTTAAGGGAAAACCAAGCACGGATTAGAGGACTTTTTTTGACACAATCTTAGAGGAAGAGGAGCGACAGAACGGAGAAACGAAGACGGAGAATTGACAAATCATCACAATTCTTCTTTCATCTATCTTTTCTTAATCTATTTCTTTTTATATTTTTATGATGTTTTTCATAGAGAACATGAGTAGCTAAGTTTTTAATCTAGGATTTTGTTGGAACCCTATGTGGGGATGGTGAACCCGTTTTCTTGAGATTATGCAATTATGATTTTATGATTATTTCTTCTACTTGTTATGATTGTTAGTGCATGAACCTGATCAATTTATGTGCTTTATCTGTGATTATTGGGATTGACTCGACATAGCTATTTTGATAATTAGACGATAAGTAAAAGAGCCTTCGAGTAGTTTTCACCGGATGAGTGTGTCAATTGCATGTGGTGTCGTAGACATACAAATATCACCTTAGGTAGTCATTTACGAGACTTGTTTGTTAATACTTTATTCATAATTGGTTTGCATAGACATATAGTGAACCGTTTATGAATAATAGACTCATAATACACGCGATAGCGGGTTACGAGTAAATTAGTGTCTCGGGTTAATAATCAGGAATCATATATTTCATAATTGAGGGGGTTTGGGTGAGCAATTCTTGCATAGGGGAAGATGAAATCCTAGGTCGGTTTTTACTTGATATTTTCTCGTGTTTTGCTTTCATAATTAGTTTAATTATTTAGTTGATTAAATTTCACAACCTTGCGTAGACTGGATAAAAATCATAATTGTTAGAATTTGGTACTTAGGATTAGATAATTTGAGTATTCCCTATGGGATCGACATCCGACTCTCACGAGTCCACTTTTATTACTTGTTTGCGATACGTGCACTTGCGTGTTAGGTAGTTAGCCCAATACCTGTCCATCATGTTTAGTGGTTGCAATTTGATTTCATACACACATATATATTCAGCACAAACATACACAAAATCACCACACACATACACACTAAATCAAGACATACACAAAAAATCAGCACACATGCACATTGTATCTTTGTTTTACTTGTAATAGGGGAGAAATTAAAGGAAAAATACAGAAATTAAAGGCACTCCCTACGAGGAGAGAGGTCGGCACGAAAATGTAGCGATGGGGCGGCGACAAGGCCAACACAGATAGCAACAACGGCGGAGCAAAAGCTAGGTTTTCAGTCAACGAAATCGGTGAGTCAACGAAGCTGGCGAGCAGAGGTGAAACGACGTCGGCGTAACGACGACAAGGGAACGGATGCAGAACGGAGTTTTAACATAAGAGAGAGAGAGAGAGAGAGAGAGAGAGAGAGAGAGAGAGAGAGAGAGAGAGAGAGAGAGAGAGAGAGAGAGAGAGAGAGAGAGAGAGAGAGAGAGAGAGAGAGAGAGAGAGAGAGAGAGAGAGAGAGAGAGAGAGAGAGAGAGAGAGAGAGAGAGAGAGAGAGAGAGTTGGGCAGTGGGTTGATAAACGAATTAGGTCTTTATTGTAGGGAAAATTGGTTAAAAATTGAGTCATGAACAATTTTTTATCAATGTTATTGTACGGTCTAAATTGAGTATATAAATGAATTTTGGATTAGAACCAATTTTGTGGTGAATGAAAAATTACTAGTCCAAAATATAAGGAAAGTGGGATTTTGAGTTATCCCACATTGGAAAAGTAGAGAAGTATTGAGCTGTATATATATCAAAAACATTAGGTCATGGGCTTTAACCCATTGGGTCCTTATTACTCGAAGCCCATCTCGATTGGTCTGACTGGTCTGAATTGGTGCGGCCGAACCAATGCAAACCATTCCGCTCAACTCGAAATGGTGCAACTACTCCCAATTGGCTCAATTCGAAATGGTGCAACCATTCAAACAAAAGGTACCTTTTTACTCCAAAAGGACACTACTTTTCAGACCTTATAAATAGACCATAACTTTCCCACAATTCCTCACTTCAATCCAAAAACAAGCCTACCGCATATTAAAAGCCTTCGCTTTACAAATTCTCTCGATAAAAGTTCTACACAAAGTACAGTTCGTCGTACTTGGGATTTGGAGTGCTCCTATTCCAAGTTTTGCCGTTGTATCTTGGGAGACGATTTCCATTTAATCCGTTAGCACCGTTGCGGGGAAATTTCGTCTTAAGGACAGAGACAACTCGCCTCGGCAAATTCTCGTTCATAGCAGATTCACCAACAATTAATTTGTTCAACCAATTTACTAAATTCACTACAAGTTTTATGTATCGGGAACAACATTTATTTCATTCTCTTATGCGACGAAACGCGCATAATCGACGAGAAATTTAAATAAAAAAAAAGCTTAAATTATTGTTTCATCGTTTTTAAATGAATCGTCGCAAAAAATAATAGAAAATTAAATCCATTGCGACGTTTCTGTATTTCGTAGTAACCTGGGCGCGAGAATTTGGGAAAGTGAAAACTCTTTCGACATTTCTGCTAAATATTCGTCGCAATATTAATTACAAAAACATTAAAAGGAAAACTAATTTATTTTAAATGCGACGTTTTGGAGAAATCGATGCAAAAAGAGCAGTGGAAAAAAGTAAACGCAATTTTTTTGCGACGTTTACGCACAATTCGTCGCAGGGTAATCTAATAATAAATAATTGCGACGACGTACATTTCGTCGCAGGGATCGAAAAAAAAAATTCTTTCAAACAGGTTGCAGCGATTCCTTTTCTTCCATTGTTATAATGTAATTTTAAAACAAAAAAAAATTACTTTGTGCGACGTTTGTCGCTTTTTCTTCTAAAAAATATGTGAAAATTATTTTGGTTTCAGTTTGCGACGTTTATGGGAACATTGGTCGCCAATGAGCGACGATATATTAGTTGCATCGCAAAGGTTTTGAGTCAAAAGCGGGATTTAAACTATTGCGACTATTACAGTAGAAATCGTCGCAAATAGGCGGCGATACGGGTTTCGTCGCAAATTTAAACGTCTCCAGAACTATGTTGTGTCCTAGTGAGCCCACTGAAGAGTCGGATGACCCAGAGCGAAGGGCGTCGTCTTCTGTGGTCATAGCATGAGTGGCCTCCGATGAGGAGTCACATCATTAAGAGTCAGAAGTCTTGTCCTTTAAAATTTGCTTGCCCTCAACTAGTCTACGCAAGCGGGGGGGGGGGGGGGGGGGGGGGGGGGGGGGGGGGGTTTGAGGTCGTCGTCGAGTACCTCCAGATTTGTCTTGATCGCCCATATCTGCTTGTTTCGAAGAAGAGAGGCTTTCATCATTCAAGCCAGCCACGAAATCATCCACAGGATCAGGGAGATCGCCATCTTTGAGACTTGGGTTGATAACTACATGTGGTTGTGGGTTCTAGATCTGTAGCGACTAGAGCGGCTGAAATGATAAATGCAGTTTGAATTTATTCAATGTATATTTCGAATTTGTGAGTGGAGGGAATTTTTTGAATGAATTTTATGAAGGATGTGAAGCATATGTTTTGTTGGGCTTGTCATTTAGTTTTAATAACTTTGGTTACCAGTGACCTATATCTTAAGGCCCTAAAAAATTGCAGTAAGTTATGGTGTTTTTTATTGTAGCGGAAGCGAATCGAAGAGAAGGAAAAATGATTGCAAGGAAAAGTAAAGGCAATGGCTCATACGATGTTAGAATAACAAAATGAGTTAATTTCAAATACCACCCTTGCGAAATTTCTAATGGTCAAATACGCCCGTAAAAAAAATTTTGCTCATACCCCCCTATGTTATACGTTTCGAAGCTCACCGCACCCATTATCATTTTAATGGTTGACTGAAGGTAAAAAGTCAAGTATACTCCTAAGTGGAATAACATAAAATTATAATAATTTAAGAGGCCAAATTGGATTCATGTTAAACTTCTAAAACTTAAATTGGGGGAATAAATTGCAATTTTCCAAAATCCATCTCCCAACTTTCTGCGATTTTGCCCAGCCGCGGCCCAATTCCGCCACTCTTCCTCTCAATTTCTGATAAAGGGTCTGTAGATGACTGTGGAATGCGTTTTTGCAGGTCTAAAAATGGTGGCGGGTCCGGCGCTGTTGTTATGGAAGTAGGAGGGAGAATTGGAGTGGGCATGGGCCGAGGTTTGGACTCGCTTCTCCCAATTGAGAGCGCCCCATTTCGTGGCGGAGGTGCAGCAGTGGGCGGCGACGGGGGCCGCGAAAATGGAGGCCCAGAAAGGAGTTGTGGTGGAGTAATTTCGCGACCGTCAAGACGGAGTTTTCTTACACCATCTTCATCCTGGGGCTGGTAGCGGTAATCGTTGGTGGGTACTGCTACATGTTGGGGACGATCAAGAATGAAGAAGAGGGAGGGAAAAGGGGCTTGGGGACATTTTTGACATTTCGTAATCGAAAATTAAGAAAAAAATTGCAGTAGGAGCGCGTGAGAGACACGATTTGCTCTCAAGGGTCTCAATGCCTTAACTTTGTTTACAGAGGCGGTATGTGCGAATTTATTTTTGACAATTAGAGATTATTTACAATTAACTCATAACAAAAGTATCAAGATAAATTGAATTGTGTATTCTTCTTTTGTGGATGCATCAATATATAAGAGTGATACAAATATAATATAACTAGAATTCATGATCTAAACATAAAACTTAATCAATAGAATGCTAATATATATTAACAAAATATATACTAGTTTCGAGAATGGATAACAAAAAAATTAAAACTAGAGACTAGTTTTGGAGCCAGTATATCCAAAAAATTGAACTGATATAAGGGAAACTATAACAACTAGACTAAAAAGCTTATGCATCATAAAAACAACAATCTTTTAACTTAATGGCTATTTGTCGGAGAAGAAGAATCGTCGCACACTTTAATCCTAGTCGAAGAACCAGCTGATGGCACCGATTTTACAATTGCAGCTTCATCCACTTGTTCGGAATTCCTCGTTGCACCGGACTCGAGAATGAAATCGCTGTTCCGAGGATTCGTCTTGAAAGTAATTTCAGCACGACATTTAGTGCACTTGAAATAGAACCTTAAGATTTGAATACCTATAAACGTCTCTCCCACAACGTCTTCTTTGAGGGAATTGAATTGCGTCCCCTTGCAGATGTTGTTACCGCACGTGCCGCACGTGATACTCATTGGAAGAATTAACCGCACTTTGATCGGCTGGTCTTTTGGCTTCCTGACATGCCACACAATATTCTCCAGATCTAAACCCAGCGGGTTGTTCTTTTTCACAACTTCTCTTTCTCCCATCTCGATTTAATTAGGGTTGATATAAAAAAGAATTCTGTATTTTTATTGCTCTACAATAGAATACTTTAACCAGATGGAGATATATATATATATAGAGAGAGAGAGAGAGAAACCCTATTTCGGCTCGACGTTCCCTTCTGCTATCATACAAATTTTAATTTAAAAAAGTTTCGATACAATATTATAGAATGTAAATATTTTTTTATTGTGTGGAAAATTTATTTGGAATATATTTTTTAAATTTGGGCACTCTACAAATAAGCCCATTAACGAGTACTTATTCATAAATAAGTCCAAACAATAAACTCTTTTACAAAAAAGTCCACACATAGTCTAGAGGTTTGTAAAAGACTAAAATAGTCAATCATATTTTAATATACTTTAATTTCATCCTCTAATTTAATTTAACCTCAATTTGATCCCAAAATTCACAAATTATTCAATTTTGACTAAAAACACATTTTTATGGACAATTTTGTCCGTCACCGCCGGTCTCCGGCGTTGATTTTTTTTCCTGATTTTCCGCCGGTTTCCGGCGTTGACTTTTCGATTATTTTTTCCTTCCTGATTTTTCCGCCACCGGTTTCCAGCGTTGACCGGCAGTCAACGCCGGTTTCCAGCGTTGACTTTTTCGATTTTTTCTCTTTTCTTTAACATCTTTTTGCTCCCCGATTAAACAGCAATATTGTTGTGGTTGACAATAATATTAACTATATTACTGTTAAACACAGTAAAATTAACCATACTATAGTTTAACACAATAATATTGATATATTAATCTCTAGCACAATAATATTAACACAACAAAAATTATTATTATTGTGTAATAGAGTAATATTAATGTGACGCCCACTACCGAAATACACTGTACTTTTTTTTTTTTTTCCTTTACAATAAATAAATACAATGACTTCCGATAAATACAATGTCTCTTACTTAATTTCTGAACAATAATATCAAATACACGTGACAACCAAATGCCACAACTAATCTCGTATTCATAGTTCTCGAATTACAATCATTCTTAAACACAACACTAGATTCAACACTAGATTAAACTCTCTAAAATCTTTGAATAACTTTTACTCCTAAGAGCCTTCAACATAATCGTCCACTAATGCACCCGCCACTGAGAATAAGAAGGAAAATAAAGGAGGAGTAAGTCCAAGTGGACTTAGTGAGGAGTACGAGGGAAAAACAGTCGAATCAAATAATAATCACAATATAAGCGTTCAAGGAATTGAAGTTGGAATTGGACCATCTAGAGAATGATCGTTCGATAAGGAATAAGAGGTCAAAGTATAAGGCACATCAATATGATCAGAATCGACAATATAATCAATATGTATAGGTGAAGAACTATATTCAATGGGTAATTCCCGGATATCAATTATGAATTTCGTGGAGATTCCCACGATAACTATTTCGGATATCAAATATGAGACCATGGAGATTCCCATGGTAACAATTTGTTCATGTACCTGTACCAGCCTTGTGACTCCCTTAGTCGTTACTACCTTATAACCCCAATCAGGGAATGACCCTGCTAATTGATCAATAGGCATGCCCGGGCGCATGCCGATCCATCCATCAGCACAGTTAACCTCCAACTATGCCAATGGTCTAGATCCAATATGGGTACTGTCGAAGAGACCATCCACCGTCGGCCCAATACCGCCCAAAAGTCTTTTTTCGAACAGCCCCGGGCACAACTGGTCAATTATCCTTAGGGCGTCCCCAAAGGAATCAATAATATAGAGATACGGATATGCTTCCGACTATCTCAATTTACATTTTGAATCCCCATAATGAATTCCACTTTGGAAAGAGCCAATATCACAGTTCAACGATTGTGGGATTCCAATAACAAGTGATAATATCTTGTGGTCACAAAATCCCAAGTCAAGAAGGGTACGATCAATGGTTTCAATAAGAGAGTGACCACAATTCAAGATCGCATAACAATTGATGAAGATGGATCTCAGTCACCAATAGTCTACGGTTAAAATAGAATATGTAGTTGTATAGCTCGAAAGACAAGTGGTTTCAAAGGATCAATGGGAAGTCAAGATATGAACGATCCATCAATTCACAGTAGGTATGGAACGAATGATTTAGTGGATAAATACAATAATCCTAAATGGTCCAAGAGTCGGGAAAAGAACAATTTACGTTCATTGAACCACCGTAGAAACAAATCAAATGATTTACTGAATCATAATGGAAGAAGTGGTTCCAACTATTGTATAAGTCAATATGTGAAACAATTCACAATTGATTGAGTATCAGACTGAAACTCCAAATTATTGAAGAATCGATAAAAGAGCTTGATTGAGTAGTCAAAGAATCTGAATAATAAATTATTGGAATAAGTCTCGAATCAAGATGAGAACTTGTTTTAATAGTTCGAGGAAGAAGATACGAACCATTAAGAGAATTCCGAATAAATCATTATTTTCAACAATTCAAGAATCAAAATATAATACGATAGGCAACAAGTAAGATATATCACATTTAAGTGATCAAGAAGTAATAAAATATCTTATTCTCAGTGTGCATTCTATTTTTCCAATAAATAATAGTGAAGAAATAGAGATCCTCACCTGAAGTCCAATGCAAGTGCTATAAGAACACCTTACTCTCGAGTCATGCTCAAGTCTTGAATGAGAGCTTTAGTACGCTCGACACCTATAAACATATTCATCACTTAACAAGATTCCAAATGCTAATATAATCGTATTATTCCACTATACCACATAGTCAATTTCTTGAAACATTTGTTACGAATGTCTTGCTGCCACAGCTTATTCGAACAATCGTAACGATCACCTTACTTATCCGAATAACCTAAACGATATATCGAATTAAAGCTAACATCAATGTCTACAGGTTCACTGAAGACCTTGAGCCCAAATTATCAACTTAACACAACAATAACAGTCCTGGAAAGTGAGTACATGAAACTTCCAGGTTTTTGGAAAATTCGCTGTTGGTACAGTTTGTTTGAAAAATCATAACAATTAACACGCTCATCCAAATTGATCACATGATACGTCAAATGAAAGCTAAAAGAAAATCCTACGAGTTCACAGAAGGCTTTGATCACAAATTATGATCCCAACATATTCAAAACAGCCCCGTAAAACGAATCCTCAAAACTGCCCTGTTTTTACAGATTTACTGTCATCTGATTCGGACCTCTAATCAGCTATAAAACATACTCTAATTCGATACAATTTAACACTTAGTTATAGTTTTCGAGGTCCTCTACGAGTTTCGCGAAGAGACTGATTCCAAATTCTTACTCCAAACCCTTCGATTTTGGCTCCGAAAACATGTGCGGCAGCAGATTTAATTATAGGTCCAGCGAGCAGGCTGAACTTCTCGCCCAATTCCGGCAACCACCGCCGATTAATACTGCCGAGCTCCAACACCAATGGAAGACTAACATCTCAAGGTTTCTAACCGTGTGTCCTGATCGTCAATATTCAACCTCTAAGGCCTCCGAGCAATTAATTCTTCAAAGGACCAAAAGCTGAAATTCAGATTCTGGACTGCTCATCTTCTTTACCAGATTCTGGCCACAGCCGCGGGTCACCGCCGGTGAAATCCACCACCATCACGAAGCTGACGGTCCAAGCTTTCCAACAGAACCTCCCAAACATTGAAATTCAATCTATACGTTCTTCAAACAATTAATTGTTTGAAGAACCCAAAACCTAAAACCTAAATTCTGCAACCTTGTCTTATTCGCCGGATTCCGGCCACCACCGCCAATCATCTGATGCGACCACCACCGGAGGCAATCTGATCATAATATCCCCTTGCTAAAGCCTTCTTCACGCAACCCTAATTGATGCAGAGGTGGCGGAGTCGGAATTCTAGTTTGATTAGGATTTGAATTCCGCAAGTTGGGTTGTTTCCAACTTTCGGTATTCTATTAGGTTTAGGAGTTATTTTATTTTTATTTTTTGGTAATTTTCTCGTTTTCCTAGTTTGATTAGGTTTTTCCTTTTTTTTTTTTTTTTGGTAATTTTCTCGTTTTCCTAGTTTGATTAGGTTTTTCGTTTTTTTTAGTATAAATAGTTGCTCTAGGATTTATTTTTCAGCATCTTCATTATTAATAAAAATTTCTGAGTTTTCTCTCAATTATCTGGTGGATTCCAGAGTTATCGTGTTCTATAGGATTAATTCGTAGAAATTAATTCTTTCCGTGCTTCCGTTCTGCGTCAGTTGGCATCAGTAGCGAGGTTTTTCCTGGTTAGATGGCGAAAGGTGCGAAACAAGGAGACGACAACCGCGATGGCGATGACCTCGAGGTTGATAACATTCAGGCAGCAGTCAAGCTCGCTCGAGAAGAATCTCGACAGACTATAGAGGAATTTCGAGTAGAGATTCGAGGTGAGCTGCAACAACTTCGGGAGTTGCTACAGGGAATTGCCCTCAATGGCAACAACAGGAGGGGCGAACCTAATATAGCGCGCGCTGGGGAATTAGCCCGAGGTGCACATGTTAGGAATCAGATTCATAACCAACCATATCTTCACCCGGACAGTGATGAAGACTTGGATGAGAACGACAGAGCAATAGCCGACGGAAATCAACCTAGGCAGGGACAAAGGCAGTACGACGATTATCCAACAAGGGCTGAGATTCCACCTTTCCATGGAAACCTCTCCATAGAGGATTTTCTGGATTGGGTGGTCGAAGTGGAGAGTGCTTTTGATGTGATGAACACCCCACCCGAGAGGATGGTCAAGATGGTTGCGTACAAGTTGAAAAGTGGTGCGGCTGTATGGTGGGACCAGTTGCAGCGATCACGGACTCGACAAGGGAAGGGCCCAGTGCAGTCTTGGAGGAGGATGAAGGGGCTTCTTCACGATCGATTCCTACCGGCCGACTATGAACAACACTTATACAATTTATACCATAATTGTTCGCAAGGTAGTAGATCTATACACGAATACACCACAGAATTCCTGAAGCTGGCAGATCGAAATAATTTAAGGGAGTCGGAGAA